TCACATTCATGATATTAGTAGGGATGACATATATATTTTAACGTGTTATTTATCACGGATCCCGTTTATTCTGTTTCCGGTTCTGTGACACACTATATCCTCGTTATATTACACCCGTAGCTCGTTTCATTTAGAAGCAAAGGAGACAATGGCTTTGTAAGTCACAAACCCACTATTATTAGGGTACGAATGGAACCGAGATCTTTCTATCAGTCAGTAATAGTTCTTGATGCGTGCTCATCTGTAATAAAATATTCAGTCATTGTTCTTCGAGTTATACAAGGATCGAATAGATTCGTAAAGTCATTGAGTGTTTATGAAATTAAAAAGAGTTACATCACATTATTTTATAATATGTAACATTTGTACAAAAAAAGGTTGAAAAAACAGATATAAAGTGCAAATGTGGATAGATGTAGGTATCTTTTTCTCATGAACGATGAAATGGCAATCCCGCTTGCGCTAACGGTATACGCTGGCGAGACACCAGTGAGGGATGATAGCCCATCGTGATGAATACATCTGGACTCCAGCACGATTGTTTTTACTCGAAGGTCCAACTGAATGGGACTGGTAGTCCGCATTACTAACTCCCGAATGTAAGTATTGTAAGAGATATAAACTAACTTATTATGAATAAATAGATCATATTCTTTCTGAAGGAGGAGTCAAGAGTCTTGAGAACCGGCGTGCGTACTCGTATATGAAACGAGATATGAAAATACAGCAGGAAGCAAGGAATGTATGTAGGGATAGAGATTTTAGGCACTTGGTTCTCTGTCTACTTCACAAGGAACTTAGTGTAAAGATACATATATACACAATAACTGGTAATTACTCACGACTTTGGCCGCGCAACGGAAATGTGTAAATTGTCCATGATAAGAAATAGCTTTTATATCCCTCTTCATTCCCTATATAACACGTAACACCAAATTTCAATATCAAATATATAAGTATAATATACGGTCAAATATATAATATACGGATAAACCGTTAAGGTGCCAAGAGATAGATAGATAAATACTCTTTATTGTTTCCTTCAAAAGATTACAATAGTAAACTTATTATAAATATAAACAATTACGAGAAATAATCACAATGAGAACACAATAGGCGATCTTATCGCTAAAAGCGATCTCTTCCAGGCAACCATTGGATGGAGAGGAGTAGTTATAAACAGTTTGATCGGAGGCACGATGAAATTCTATTTCAAAAATATAGAAATGTGATACTTGTAATAATGTAAATATATATATATATATATATATATATATATATATATATATATATATATATATATATATATATATATCAAAAAACAAACTTTGAGACTTACAGTATTATTAAATAAAATTATAAAATTATACTAATAAATATATAAAGAATATCATTTATGTACAAAAATAGTACAAGATTCGTTTACAAATGGAAGAAATGATTGCACATTTGTATCACACGATTTAATATAACACGAAATTTTGCTTCGCAAAAAATCTGTTATAGAAATCGTAACAAAATAGGATGAACACCGTATCGATATCAAAAAGAATTATCAAATTCTATTAAGAACCGGTGAAGATATCGCGTAACGTAATAATATACATAAATAAGTAGCGCCGAATATAGAATGTTACCCTTTTTAAAGCGAGCGATGAAAATCGTAACTGGACGATGTCTGTAGATATAAAATATTAAAAAAAATATGTAAGGAATTTTAAAAGTAGTAGTTATTAATATTAGTAGTAGTAGTAATTAATAATAATAATAAAATATTCTGTCTGTAAATTGGTTCCAGCATTGCGCAAGAACTATCAATTTTAATACGGTTTTTGAAAGGTCTACTTAGACCTCCTAAAACAAAACAGTAACAAAAAAAAACACAACTTAAAACTAGTGTATTATGTTTTATTTTAATACGACATCTCTAATTGTTCTTTTCAATTGGTTTTATTTGGTTTTTCCGTACGTATGAAACAGCAGGCATAATGCTAGTATGAAATATATTTGTCACGATAAAAAATACTTATTTTATTTAACTATCAAAAAGATAGAAAATACAGTACAATCGGAGATGAAAAACGGCACTAAAATATAAGACTGTGTATCGCAAAAAAAAACCGATTTCAGTTGTAGCAAAACCAGTTATTTTGATTTAAAAACTAAACTATCGAACTGATATCGATCAAATTTTTACGGTACATATCTGTAAGTACAACCTTTCGGATAAAAAAAATATTTTACAAATCGGTTTACAACTGATGGAGTTATGAGATAACAGATATAAAAAAAGTACAACTAATTTGAGAATGTTGTACTTCTTTCCTTCAAAAGACGGTTGAAAATATAGGGCATACAACCAAATTATGGTTTTATTTCTAATCATCCAATGGAGTGACGTTTATAGCCCAGTGAGCTGAATTCTTACAAATTCTCTAAAAATATAACGACTGAACGTTTGATATTTATGCTAAATAATCAAATGCGCTCATCTGCCGTGTGGTCCCGGCATAGAATAGGCTAACTCTTCCTATCCTGTGGGTGTCGTAAAATGGTAACTAAAGGAACATAATAGTCGAAGATGGACAGCAGGGTCCCTCTTAAAACTTCACCAAAGCCTAACTGCGCTTGCCAACCCGTTTGCCAAGCGTGGCAATTACTGGCAAAATCCCCCTTACAGGCCTATGTCTAGCAGTGGTCAGTTAACAGCTGTTATTGTGTGTACTCAATAATTACTTGTTTTTTTTTTTTATTTTAATTTGATATGCTTTTCGATGTGACTTTTTATGGGAATGTAAAATTAATTAATGAAAGGACAGGTGTTTTTCATATACTTGCTGGAGTTTCGTCCGATGACCACAGAGTGTTTGTGTTCAGCGAATTAAGATTTTTTTTTATACAACTTAGAATGGCAAACAAGCTGACGGCCCACCTGATGGAAAGTGGTAACCGTCACCTATAAACATGAGCAGTACCATGGATATAACAGAGTATACTGTTTCGCCCATGATACCCCCCATGCGTTGCCATTTCTGAGGACTCAGATGTTATTCCTCTGTACCCTGTAAATTCACGCCATATCCCACCCTTCAAACCGAAACACAGCTATGCAAACACAACTGCTTCACGGTTGAAACACGAATGGGACAGAGTTACCCAAGCAATCGACTTTTGTACAAAATCTCCCTCTGGTAAAGATATAGATGTTATTTCTATTATTGTTATGTGATTTAAATCTAACTAATATTATTCCATTCAATTATAGATATGTGTTATTGTACTAATGTTTTTCTGGGTAAGCGTATTGGAAGACTGTAAAGCTCGCTCAGTTGATGAAATAAATAAGTATTATGTTATTTATAAAATACGCACCTTAACTATGATCCCTGTTGGGGTAATGAAAATATTTATTACCTATTACTTGTATGGTGAACGTAAAACTCGACATGTTAGTATTATGTCCAGCGTATTAAAAATGAAGGTAGGAAGCAAGCCTACCGCTGTCACTCGCATTAACTTACTTTGTTATCTATACTATTCATAAAATTATAGATATATTTAATAATTTTATATTATTAAATATATCTATAATTTTATGAAGTTTTGCTTAGTCTGTAACTAGATGGCGTTGTATTTATTTATTACTAGGTATATCCTGTGATTCCGCCTGCGTAAATCAGTACATAAAGTATCCTATTTATTAAGTTACGATGTAAAATAATTGAATTCCATATTTAATTCAAATTAATTTAGTGTAGTTTTTGCTTCAGAGTTACAAACATTCATTTATCTATCCATTGTTACAAATTTTTACATTTTTATTATTAAAAGGACTAGTTGTAACCCGCGGCTTCTCCCACGTGAATCAGTACATAAAATATCCTATGTTCTAATATAAGTCCCTCATATACCGATACGTGAAAAAGTAACAAATATCCTTCCGTCCCTCGTCACAAACTTTGCATTTACAATATACATAGTATGTTATTTCAATCTAACGCAGCGTATTTGAATAGATACCGTATCAATTTAATTAATAGTTCTAATTCTATTGAAACTTGTTCTGGATACATTACTTAAATTATGTCTTTTGATGACCAATCTGATATACACACCGGTTGGCTTTCCAATATTCACGGCCGGCCAATCAAAAGATAATCGCACTAAACATCGCTCACTCTTGTTAATTTACTCCGACTAACAAGTAATACTGGTACATTAAATTATACTTTGGAAACTATTAATAGGTTGCTTATAATTAAAAAAGTCACAAAATCAGAAGTTGATTTTTTTACGTAACAAGTTTTTTTATTTGGTACTTTTATGCATACTAAAATAATAGGAAAAAAATGTATCCGGATAACATACGGGATATGTTTGTTATGTTATCAAATATTCGCTGTTAATATGAAGCTCTGTATGTAATTGAAATAAGAAATTATATTTTTACAATATTTGTAAGAATATTTCGGCATGTTTGATAAAAAATATCGCACATTTGGTTAAAAATCAGGGTACAATTTGATTTAATTTGCCCTATTTTAATTAACCGCTTTTGAGTCTGTACTTTTTGAGATTAATTCGTACCATTAGTGATCACTGTACTTATTAAATTTAGCACTGCTCTTGCATTGACGAAACTGAAAGATGAATGTATGCAACTATCTGGAAATATCAATAAAATTAATTAATGACCACTACTCATAATATGGCTCTGTCCAAAATTCATATAATTACCGATAAGAATCATGAAAGACCTAACTATTTTACAGGGTAAAATTTTTAGTTGCATAGATTTCATACAAATTGTTTATTATCCGAAGTGACACGGGCTTGCATATTAGACAGAAGTTCATTTTCTGATCTTGATATTCGTACTGACAGGTCTCGTTTTCATTCGCAACCGTTGTTACGAGCCACGTGCACAGGCTCGGGCGGTTGCGTTAAAATAAATATTAGTAGCGTATTTCAGAACGCAGGTTTCAGTCAAGCAGCGGGGCTGTGCGTGCGACAAGGACAGCGACTGATAATATCCTGAGTGAGAGTGAGATGTGACGAGCTTATCCGATCGATAGCCGCAGCCGCAGAGTGCTGCTCGTGTGACGTCACGCGCCCGTCATCTTTGACTCTGTTCAAGAAATTGTCACTACATTTTCCGTGTAAAAGAACGGTCCATTATCGGTAGTTCAGTTGGTAACAATGTATGGAATGGCCTTCGGAATTATGTAGGAGGTAATTTGAAGTGGCTAAGCGTGTATATGTACATATACAAACTTGAATTCGTTTCGTTATTTAATCAAGAGAGAGTAACCTCCTTATTCATAAAAACGTCGAACGTTTAATAAACCCATTTTAGTTATTGAAGTTATTTATCTATTTCTTGTGCTATAATTTTTCAATTTGAATGAATATGACAAAATAATTTAAGGCGCTCTACGTTTTAAGGATATTATAAAATTTAGACAAACTATCTGAAGGATTCAGGTATCTGATATTAGTCAACAATTAATATAAATTAGAAATTTTTGGATCATTTTTTTGGTATTTCATTAATTACCTTATCAATAAATACTGTTTAATTTTTTTTTCTTTTTAGAAATGCACCACTTAAGATGGTTTTTAAATTAATTTATAATTTATTGCAATGTAAATTCATTTAAAAAAATTATCGGGTCATAGTTTGAAAGCAAAATAGACTAGGTATACCTATACTTTTATATGACTTCTAACCAACTCAAACTAACAGGTATCTCGACAAGAATACCTATGTTAACATATGAAGTTATTGTTGTATGTTGTACCATTGTCCACTGAGCTCGTGACATATTTAGATATAGAATCTACCAATGACAGCAGCCACCTATATTGAACAGTACGAATTCAACTAGAACTAGGCAGGCTCGCGTCGATTCGAAGAAAAATATTTGATTTAAATCTGCATAGATTTTAAACTTGTTCAATGAATAAAAATAGCTAGTAGGTCTTTTATAATACCTGTTAACGTCGATATTTTGTACAGAGTCCTTTATTATGTGGATACATCTACGTGGTCGCATTGATTTATTTTCCAGTTTCGTCAGTATAAGGGCAGTGCCGACTCTTAAATAAAGTAGAAGTAAAAACCTATTTTGTTTAATTAGAATTCGATTAGACGGAAGTTTCCTGATATTTAGCTGGCAGTATCGACAAGATACAGTTATTTCAAATGCTAATTCGAAAATGATTTATTTTTAAACATTTCATGACATTATTGAACAGAGTATACCAACTTAAATTGTTTTATTTAGTATGATATCAACACAAAAATGTATATAGTCGATAAAAAAGAATCATTAAAGAATAAATTGCTTAATATACGCACAAAAATATAAAGATATCGCGGACATACAGATACGAAAAATATATCGTGAAATTAATAATCTCCTTCTTCTACACAATTCGGCATTCTAAATTCAAATATTTTTTTAATGTAATGTATAAATGTAACATTTAGTCTTATATAGTAGCATATATACACTACACACACACACACACACACACACACACACACACACACACACACACACACACACACACACACACACACACACACACACATGTACGTGTGAGTTCACGATTGAAGTCATTATTTTTTCAAAGCAATATGTACCAACTTTTTATTGCATACTATCGACAGCTTAGAACAGAACCATACAGAATCGACAAAATGTGTTATGTAAACAGCAGCGCTAAATATGGAGCCGTTGTATCAACAAGGGAGAGAATAAAGTCGAACCATTTTTTAATTGCTATACTTTAAAGATTTAAGCTTTCGTCTTTTGTACACATAGGTACGTAATAAAATTTATTTTCGGAATTTAAAGCGATGCGATTTCAAGTAAATATAAAATCAGATATGTAGGAACTATTTACTTAAGATCACATCGCTTTAAGTTCCGAAAATAAAATTATATCTTGCATTGAATTTTAGAAGTAGGTTAAGAGAACAACATCGGTTCTAGTGACGTAGTTGATTTTTATAATTTTCTGTAGTTATTATTTTTAGTTTACGACTAGAAATGAAATAGTCCATGTACCGTGATGAAGATTTTACTTGTACAATAAAGTGCTACCAACAAACAAATAAACCAAGATCCGTGTTATTGTGGAGATACGAATAAATATGTTATTTAATTTTATTTTCAGGACTTGATGCGAGGGTGGTCGAAGAAACTGCGCGGGCTGTCAAAATAAAACGCCGCGGACTTTAGTCCTGCTGTGATCACGATGTGGAACAATCCGCGTCTATACGTCGGTAATAATAAAAATAAAGTACTAAGATATTTTGAATAAAATGTTTTACCAGTAATACTGAATATTTCTACCAATGACACAAGGGTCGAAAAATGCCAAAATTAAATGGAGAATTAATTTAGTATGGACGGTTTGAAATATTTTACCCTTTTTGAATGTTTGATTAAAAAAAAAATGTAATGTATTTTGTAGCATAGATAGATTCTTAATTTTATCTACAGCTTAGGATTTCGATATCAACTTATGTAAGAAATGTGATTAATTACATGGTATATAAAAATAGGTATATTACAAGATTATTTTTATAATCATATCCGAACTAGGTTAAGAATTCTAAAGACATCCAATGGTAGTTATTCATTTTATTAAATATTTAGTACGTAATAAGATATTAGAAAAATATAAGAATTAATACTTATAGGTATTTTTTTATCTAGCCATTTGTTTATTTTACATACTATTATATCAAATTACAAGTAGGTTGAAAAAATTTAATTTTCCGACAACCGGAAAAGTAAAATTATTAATTTATTATAGGCATTTTAATATTTGGAAATACTAAAAATATTTTCATATATCGTTATATTGATAAAAAAATCTAGCGCTGTTTACTAATGGAACAAGCATAATTTAAAAATTTGTAAGACCATACCATACCATAAAACCAACTTTACTCGTCGCAAACCCTTTATTTTGATTTTGAATTGGTAATTTTAAAAGTGTCTGTAGAATCAATCTGAAAGTATATCCTCTCAGATAAAAAAGAATTTTCCAAATCGGTTTATAAATGATGGAGTTCTGGGGCAATAAAGATAAAAAATAACCGTTTTTTAAAGTTGGTTGACAAAATACCGAATTTATAAGCACCTATATATATATATATATATATATATATATATATATATATATATATATATATATATATATATATATATAATAATCGCTATTTGATTATATATTATAATAATTTTTTATTTTTTGTTGTCGTAACTGATTCCACTTGGTGTCTTATTTTTAAAATTACAGATATTAGACCGTATACCATGTGCATGCATTTAGATACACTGTGTCAATATAAATTCTCATCAATATTAACATGGGAGCAGCATATTGTCACGACTAAAGAGCTGCAGCTGTGCTATCGATTCTAAATATTAAGGTCATAATTAAATTGTACAAGGATATCAGATATACATCGTTGAACGTACTCATTTTACTATTACTTACTAGCTATATTCCGCGGATTTGGCCGTCTAAATTTATACATAAAATATTATATATACGAAGATAAAATATAACCTATACGTGTACCAAATTTCATTCAAATCCATTAAGTTTTTGCATGAAAGAATAAAAAATATCCAATATATATACAACATCTGTCCATCCATCCATCAATCTTTATAAATATTCGTATTTATAATATTAATAAGAGAATTATGAGGATTTGTACTTGGTATAACTTAAACAAATGCCAAGTATGATTTGTTTTTATCTAAATCATATAACATAAAATGAACAAATAGAGTACAACCATATTTTGGTCCATAAAAAAAGAGACACCGATCGTGATGAAAGTCAATACGACTATAGTACATTATTGCAGCGACCAGCAACTGAGGCATTGATGGACGAACGTGCAAATGTGGGTCGAGGCGTAGCCGAGGCACACGTGAGTCCATCAATGCCTAGTTATGGCCAAGGCTTGTATAGTACTTTTCTCAAACAATGCGAGAAAATCAAAAACACAATTTTACTTTTAAGTTCAATGACGAATAACGAACAATAATAATTTTTTACGCGCCATGATGTTCCTTTGTTTTTTTTTTCAATAAACAGCTTTCTATTTGTAAGCCAGTTCGAAATTTAAATAAAACCTTTTATTAGTTACCTCCTTGGTAGCCAAGTTTCGAAGTAAAAGGTCATTCCATTTTTAAATTACAGGACAGATATGAGTTTATATAGTAATTTATCTGGTCACAAAATATGACAGATATGGATTTTCATACAACTTTTGCCGGCCGCTACCCGCATGTATCTGGCCAGTATGGCAATTTTGATTTATCTCTAAGAAGATTGTCAAAATAATGCTCACATTTCCAAGCATGTTTGAGAAAATATTATTCGTGCGTTGGTATCACCCTCTGGCATCAAAAGTTTCTAGACTGCAAAACAAAACACACAGATGAACACTAATATGTTTCGTAGATATATTAAATTGGACGCACCTTATTTCAGATCGTGGTACGGAATTGTGTATCTACAAGTGCCTAGATCTATTTTAATTTCACACCAAACAGTTTGCTTCGTAAAATAAATATGGAACCAATACGGGAATAAAATATACCTACGGCTTAATAAAGAAGAAAATATAGAGAAATAGAAGTCGGTTAAAAATTGTAATATTACAAGGTTGGATCTCATACTTTTTTAAAACGAAATATAATATATATTACTTGTTGATAATACAGCTTTCTATAGGCGAAAAAATTTTTAAATTCAGTTAAGTATATTTTTCGTTTATTCGTGTATTACGAGTAGTTTAGAATAACGTCATGTCAAGCTACGGTGTAGATAGACTACGGATTACGCTGTAATCTGCTACGAATTGCACCGTAGCATGCTGTAAGATATGTCGTAGCATTCAGCAAAATACGTCGTAGCAAAAAGCAAGATACGTCACATTATTGTTGTATTGTATAATTGTTTTTACTCGCAACATCGTCCGCGTGACCATGATAAAAATTAATTTATGTCCTACACTATTTCAAATTCTGCATACATTCTTTTAAAATTTTATGCAGATTAATTGAGCGTTAAAAAGTAACAAACAAACTTACATTCATCTTTATTTAACGAATTTTTATTAACACTATTATGAATTATTTATTAAATACGACGGGAGTTACAAAAATAGTGTGATCACTCTATAAACACAATGCAGTGAAGTATTTTGCAAGGTCGGTGAAGTGGTAATTGCAGTGACGTCATGCGATTGTGACGTCACTAGATATGATGATAGCTGCGTACTTGAAACTTTGTTTATATTAATTTATTCATCCATTAATGTTGCCAACATTATAAATGTATTAAATCATGTACTGCATTGATTTAATATGTATAACTCTGTATACGTTTGTTTAAACATATGCTGTGACTACTGGACACGATCTCTACACTAGGATATAGCTTATTTTTAATATACTAGCTTTGCAAGTTAGTATAGATTTTTTTTCTTCTTCAATTCTTTAATGGTGTATTGTGTTTATTCCCTATGTTACCTTTTGTAACTTCCTGGGAATGAAAGTGAATAATGGGAGATAATGTTTTAAATATTTTACCTGACTAAATGTTATTTTACGGAATAATAATAGTAGTCAATCTTCAAGTTTTGGCAGTTACACACATACTCATGATAGCGGAATTAAACAAAATAATTCTGTTCGCGACATTATTTGTATATATCGTAATTTATAGTTGTTAAGTCCCTAGTTAATCGTTTCTGTATTCTGTTATTTTATATAGATTTACATAGATTTAAGATAGTGTAAGTTAAATAAAGTATTCCTTTGCGTGTTGTCGTTATTACCTACGAATAGAAATTGTAACAATAAATAGAATTAAGAAATTGTAAATTGAAATAAAATAAATAAATAGACGCTATAGAGTACCGATCTGAAGAGACACGCGTCTCGTTCATTTTCGCCCCGTCCCGCTCGCACAGATCGCTATCGCGAGTTGGAAACGTTATCGTGCGAGCGGGCGGGTATAAAGATAGGCCGCCTCCCGTCGAGCGGCATTCGCTTCCGGGCAGCGACGCACTACACTCGAGAAGAAATAGGACAAGAAGAAAAAACACTCTCTTCAGACGGTACCGGAGGCTTCAGAATAGTAATCGCTGTGTTTCACTCCAGCCTGAACCAACGCCCCTACAGTCCACGCTCACCGAACGGCAGTCCACACCGCACATCGTGGTCCTTCGAGAAGCCGGATTGCTGGAGGAACACCGTTGGTACATCGAGAAGCCGGATCGCTGGAGGAAGACCATTCTGAAGCCGGATCGCTGAAATGCCGACTACGAGAAACATGAAGTCGTCGCAACAAAAAATCGCCGTCACCGAAGCCACAACGTCCGCCGCCACTACGTCGACTACGACCGCCGGAACGCTGTCCGTCGCTGCCACGCCGTCCGTTGCTGCCACCACGTCGTCTGCGGCTGTCAGAATGCCTTCTGTCGCTGCCACGTCGTCTACCGCCGCCACCACATCGACTACGAACACGTCCGGCGATACGACGACCACAGGAGCCACGGAGACTACCGAAGCCACAGGAACGACAGAGGAGACAGCAAGGAAGAAGGAACCGAAGCACGGCACGGCACGCACGGTTCGCACCACGGCCTCGCAGAAGAAGAAGGCTCTGGCCAAGGCACGGGAGGAGCTACTTCGAAAGGAGGTGGAATTGGCCGCCGCACGTGTCGCCGCCCTGGAAGCCGAATCAGAGGACGACGAGGAAGTAGAAGACGACGACGCTACCGTCAGAAGAGAACGAACGTCGGATTGGGTTCATCGAAGCACGCTAGCACTCACGATGGAGCCGCATGTACCAGAGATAGAAGAAGTCACCGGCAAGCGTCAGGGGTTCGTCCCATCGAGACCCGTTGAAGAGGATTCGAGAGCGCCGCCGCCACAGCCGAGCAGCGACGCACTTCACCGGGACCACGCACGCCACGTTGACCCACATGCCGCCATGCCTACGATAGCAGCAGCGATGCAGTCGATGAAGAAAGAAGAACCGGTGCTGAAGGTGGGCATCGATTGCAATGAGTTTGCGATCGCCATGCAGATGGCCGCTCGCAACATACTGCCCTCCACAGCGTCAAGAGTCACCGAGTTGCCAGTCTTCAATGGATCGTCGAGCGAGTGGTTACCATGGAAGATGGCCTATGAAGAGAGCGCAAGTCAACTCACAGAACAA